AACAGATCCTGCCAACATGGTACCGGTCAAAGCGGCATCATTCACAGCAAGTTGATCAACTTCAAACTGATGTCCCCATGGAAAGGTAACCTTATCCTTGGTGACTGCGTTTCCAATTGGCCTCAAGTTCCCTCGGACTTTAACATGAGATACGTCCGGCGAATCATCAAAACGAATCGATGGACAAAATACTCTTGGTTGAGGGATACAAAATGCCTGAGACACGGATGCAAGCATGGATGCAACAAGACAAACTGCGGCAGGAGACGGCTTAGATGAACTGGCCCCGGATCCTTTAGACTTCGGGGACTTCGGGCTCTTGGGGCTCTTAGAGCGGCTAGAGCTTCGGGATCCCTTCCTTTTCGGGTTCTTGGGATTCTTCTTTTTATTTTTGTTTTCGCTACTGGCCGAACGGGCAGGAGTAGCTTGTCTTGGTTTTCCCACTGAACCCTCATGAAGGAATTTGCAATCAGCTCCTCTATCGCAACGTCCCTGTTTCCAAAATTTGCAAATCTTCTTACCTTTCCCCTTTGGTCTGGGAGAACCAGAACGTTCATTTGAGCGACCTCTGGTTTTGCTGGGTTTGCGACTTCTGTCACGTGGCTTGGGGACTTCATGCTTGTAAGTACAGTTGTCCTTGCTACAGCCTCCCTTATTCCATGCCACACAATACCCCTTGGGGATGAATCCTGTCTTGCCCTCGACTGCGGGAGCGGAGGGACGACCGGAACCCGAAAGACCTTTGGCAACTCGATCACGATTTGCCTCCAACCTCTCACGGTCAAGGTGGCGTCGCACGGCAGAAACAAGGAAACTGTAGTTCCGTTTTTCGGTTCCTTCATCAGCTCTATGATACTCATTCATGTCATGTTGGATGGCCTTACAATTCTTCACTTGTTTGTAGAAGAGTGTCTCCAATACACTTTCATCAGGAGTCTGGACGATACCAGCCAACACTTGATCCCAGTTCGAAATGAAAGACTTCAAATTCTCCCCACGCAATTGGACACTGAACAAATCTTGAAGGGCATAAGTAGCTCCGTGCTTGATGTTGGTACTAAAGTGGTCATGCAACATGAACAACACTTGTCTCCCTCTTACAATCCGTCCAGCGGTGGCTTCAGTCTCTTTGAAGGTATCTACCTTGCGGGCGAAGTCACCAGTGATAATATTGGTGAGTGCAGAAAGTAACTTTGCATCAAGTGTCGCAAACGGCGCAACCTTCCGGAGCGCTTCAAGGGTCTGTTCTTCTTTCCAAGAATCACTAATCCACTTGAAAGCACTATCGGGATCGGTTGATGCTGCTACAACTGCTTCTCTGGTCTTAATTCTCCAATTGCGATAGGTTTCTGCCAATGGGAATGCCGGGATCTTGATGGTGTCAGCTTCCTTGACCTTGGGTTTGTCATCATGCCTTGGATCAATGTAGCCACCTAGAAACTTGATCATCCTTCGCCTGAACTTCTCATCATCATCATCATCATCATCATCATCATCATCATCATCATCATCATCATCGGGATCACCATCACCGTCATCCCCACCGTCAGGAGGATTGGGACCGGCCCTAGCTTTTCTGGGTGCCTTACGGTTCTTATCCCCTTCAGGTTTATCGATTGGATCAGGTGGTGATGGTGGTCCACCTCCCCCGTTCCCTCCCTTGCCATCTCCTCCATCCCCTGGATCGTTTCCATCAGGCGCATCATCGCCCCCCGGCTCGAAGTACTCCATCTCATCTGGGCCTAGTTCGGTCGGGGCATATTGATTGGTCGGCGCAGGGGAATTGACACTATCCATGGGATGGTTATCTCGGCGTCGATTATTGGCCTCTCCTCCCGAAGGGCGTTCCTCAGCGGAAGACCTTGCAACGTCCAACTCTTTCTTCACTTGAACTGGGACTCGATATGATGGATCATGATAAATAATCTCAATGCCATCCTTCTCATAAGTTTCAGTACCAGGTGAAGTAAAGCTAATTGGTGCTCTTGGAATAGGAGGTCGGGCAACACTCGTCGGAGGCGCTGCAGGTGCAGCTTTGCGGGTTGGTGGAACAAACTCAAAATTTGGAATCTCCGTTGATGTATGGGTTCCGGCTGTCATAGTCATGGCGGCAGTCTCGACAATAGGACTTGGACGAACCTGAGCAAATTGGGAATCGAGCATACTTTGCAGTTTCAGATTGTGTTGCATCTGGGCTTGTACCATGTGTTCAAGCTGTGTAATGCGTTCATTCTGAACCCTTCTCTCTTCCTCAGCTGCTCTTCTCAATTCAAGGATCTCTTGCTCCTTACTTGATAGTGATTGTCGATGGTTAGCATCAATGACACGCTGATATGCCTGAATTTTCTCATTCATCTGAGCTTCACGGAACCTTACGTGTTCGTGCGCCTCATGCTGTAAGTTCTCCCTATACTGTGCTCCCATTCTCAATACTTCTTGTTCTTTGGACATCATTGCATCTAAGGCCCTCTGACTTTCAATGCCCTCACGGACTCGCAATGCTTCCACCAATTCCTCAGTCTTTGCCGTGTGGACGGTCTCAGCGTGGGCTTCGGCCTGGGCCAATACTTCACGATGACGGAGTTCGGCCGTTGTTTCCACAATGCTTGTCATAGCAGGATCATGTGCATGAAGGTGCAAATTCTGCTCGACAAAATTCACTTGAGGATTGTCAATATGAACATTGTGTTGAAACGTATTATGGACATTCATCTGGTTCAATTGGCGAGTCGGTGGCCCACCCTCCCGAGCGGCTTGGGGGACAAAACCACGGTGACTGAATCCCACATGAGAAGGCACAACTGCGTTACTCAAATGTGGAAGGTGGCGTCGATCCCTTAAGCTTCTGGATTTGTCGGAGCTTGGTGGGGTGCTGATGTCATATGAGAAAGGTGAGTTGCTGATAGGTAATGTCCCCGGGTTAGCCATGGCTGCGTCAGAGGTATCTACACGCCCGGTGCCCTCGGTGGAAGAACCCGAGGGGGCAGACATTCCTACAAGGAAGAATTAGCTTACGGCTGATAACCTGTTTTACAGGCTAACACGCCACAAAACGACAGCAATATGCGCTTGTTTTCTTGAGCCATTGCATCACGGTATGTAACACACTACACTATGTACAGCTAGTAATACAAACTACAAACAGTTCATAATCCACAGAACATACAAAAACCACTTGCTATAATATCTATAATCAATCAACCATCATTTCTCATATCATATCCCCATCTTTTGCTAAAACCTAAACGATGTTCGAACCCCCAGTAACTAATCAACCAGGGTCAACTGGGCCAACTGACGGGGAGGCTGACCAAGGCCAGTGAAGCGACAGGTCGCCATGGAAAGCGTCACCTATCCCAAGTTGCCGTGCCTTTGCTTTGGGCCAAGAGCAACTTGTGGGTGCAGATTGGCAAGGGAAAGGTGGTCAAACAAGAACACTGGTGATCAATTGCAGCTGCTGGCCTAGACTGGAATTCCCACTTCCTGCAAACCCAGATCTTCAAGATCTCCTGAAACGTTCTGTACCAATTCTTGTGACATTCTGCAGAGACGATCAATGGACCATCTACGACAACAAGACGCCATGAATCCTTCATGGCGGTGGATTTTTTGTTGCATCTCCCGCACACATTAACGGTCGAGATCACTGGTGAAACGATGGCATCCTCTGTTGCTGATAGAAACCACTGAATGATAGGACATGTTTTTGTGTTTTCTCTGAAACCGTTTTTCTCCAGACACTTGTTTCTTTCATGTGAACTTTTCTGCTTTCATCTGCTTTCATAATCAACATCAACGAACCAATATACTCATACAAACATATCCCTTCATCTCACCAAAGTGACAGCATTTCTGAATTGTTAAAGGCAAACACAACTAACTCTTACAACATATCTGGTCTGGTAAGTGCTGACATCTATGGAAATACTTTCGAGGTCTCGAAAACGCTGTTCACCTCGACTTAAACTTCCACATGGTGGCACACCTGAGAAGCGACAGGATCTGACCGAACAGAAAATTAAGGTTATTGGAATTTTGGTCTGCAGAATGCCACAAATCCCTGGGCTCTATGAGGAATTTATGAGGAATTGCTAGAGTCTGGAGAGGAACATCGGATAGTGATTTTGAGTTGGCATTTTCCACGGCAGTTGTTTGCTGAATCCAGGGACGGTCCACTGGTTGATAGAATGAAGAGCCCCAAACCCAGGAAAACATTGTGGGGCGAAGAAAAGACATTCAAAATCTGAAATATCAACCCTTAAAAGTGTTTGGCTTTCAATTCCATCTGCTTCAGGTCTGCGACAAAAATAATAATAAGGCCACAGGTTGCACTGATCTGATTGGGCACTAAATTATTCTACGGTTCTATGAAATTGAGAAGGACCATTAACATGTCATGGTAGGATGCACGGAATGGTTAGATGCGCCAGAGACCTGCAAATTCGAGTTTGTCTCCATAGGGTAGTCCAGTTGTGGGCATAACCCGTCGTGGGACAAACCCACATACCCCATGTTGTTGCTTAAATATTCCATTGTACCATCATCTTCATTTGAATTGTCTTAAACTGGGGGATATCTCACAACGGTATTCTGTCTGGTGGGTATAATTCAACTTCTTAACCATTGAATTTTAGGGTTCTTGGAACGTTATTTTCAGACAAATCCAGATTAACATAGACCCGGAGAATGGCTGATTCTTGAGATGAAAGTAGTCTGCCAACCCCCAACCGCATGGCAGGGTCTATATGTCCCTGCGCGTCACAACCCTTTCACACCAAAATAGCTTATGAATGAGGCTTCATCATGATAGGTTTTGATCCATACCAATGTTAGTATCCTGGGAATGGTACATATACCCCCCAACAATGACAGTAAATCCTCCTCAAATTCCACAAATCTCCGAGGATCATATAAACCCCCCAAAAAAGTCATCCTTCCAAAATCACCAAACAATATCAAAAATAGGAACCTCCTGCAACAGACCCCAGCGGAACGTCGCCTCAAAAGTCCAGCAGCGGCGGCTCAGAGATGGGCATTTGAACAACTGCCTGGTGGAACTGGCCAGGAAAAAAAAGGGAAACACCAGGATTGCTGGGTGATTTGACACCGATTATGATAAGCTGCAGGACTTTTTGGCTTTTAAATCAGACCCATGTAGCTCTAGTGAAGGGCATATCGCAACGTGTCCAGAAACTTGGACTCTTAAAAAATATGCTTGATTACTTTTCAGATCTGTTAAGACCAAAAACGGCCAAAGTATAGGGTCCCTGGGTCAGAAACTTCAACTCAAAGTCTGGGCAGATTCAATGATACAACATGATCTTCTCCGTAGTACCCCAGCAACAATTATGATCCAAATCCAACCCCTCCTGTTTAAAGCCCCCCAAAATTGCACCAACTGCTTGGCCGCAGCCACATCTAGGAACCCCGCAGAAATCAAGGGCACATGCGAGTGCTGACTGGCCAAGAATATTCGGACCTGGGCGAAAACTTGAGGTGACCAGCAAACATTGCCACATGCACTGCTTCTGTGTTCTTCGTCTCGGAAAGGTAGAATTTGCAGTCTTTAAGTCAAAAACTAAACGCCTTTGAGCACCAACACCCACCAGTCTTGGAGATCCCCAACTCAAACCCACCCCAATATTTCCAAAAAACAAAATCCCAAATCCCAGCCACGCATATTTCCCAAATCTTTCTGAAAGTCAGCGAAAGTTTCCGACCGAGGCTGTCCCGCCGTTCTCGTTGATGCATGCCACAGGTACCTCCAGTAGGTAGACCTGGCTCTGGGCAAAGTCCTATCCAATATTTTGTGTCATGCTAGATCATGTGTGTGTGTATATATATATATAATATCAGATTATATTATATTATATTATATATTATATATTATATATTATATATATTATATATATTATATATTATATATATTATATATTATATATATTATATATTGTATATATTATATATTGTATATATTATATATATTATATATATTATATATATTATATATATTATATATATTATATATATTATATATTATATATATTATATATATTATATATTATAATATATAATATATTATATACTATATATAATATATAATATATTATATATTATATATATTATATATATTATATATTATATATTATTTATTATATATTATATATTATATATTATATAAAATATAATAATAAATTATATGATATAATATATTATAATATATTATATTCTATTATACTATATTATATTCTATTATATTATATTATACTATATTATATTATATTATATTACATTATATTATATACACATATTTGTGACATTGTGAATGAATATGATCTCTCTCTCTCTCACTATATATATATATATTATATATTATATTATATATTATATTATATATATACACATGTACTGTATAATCATGTATATATATATATACGTATATATCTTTCCTTCTATGCAGTACAAACACATCTCTGAGCCAATTATGCAAAACAACTCCCAAGTCAGAAATAACCGCCGCCAAAAATGGGGCGACTGGTCGGCCAGTGGGCCAGTCACTCACCACCATTTCAAGTGATGTCTGGAAGTGATCAGGATCAGGAGATATCAGTGTACCCTCTGGTTATGACTAACATAGCCATGGTATAGATGGCCCATAGAAATAGATGGTTTACTGAACGTAAAAATGGTGGATCTTTCCAGTTAGCTATGTTAGTCATAACCAGATGGTAAAACTTTGAAAGCACCTTTTGACACGAGGCATTTGGGCTGTGAAGCTCAAGATATCTGATATCTCACACCGCCTGCTGCGGCACGAGGATTGGCAGGAAGAAGCACGGCCTTGCCAATGCCGCGCATGGTTCGCGAAACTGGGGAGCAACGTGGAAATGGACCAGTTGAGTCTTGATTTTCCAAGTGTCCAAAAACATCTCGGATACACCAACCACACACCAACCATATGGCAAATCAAGGCACATCATCTGATGAGATCAATTCTTTTGACCCAGATGATTCCTGGTGAAACATCTGAGGTCACGACTTGGGTATCCGGTACAGATTCGGGTTGGTGGTACAATGCACGGGCACATCGTTCAGAGATGTGGAACCTCGCGTTCCAAACAGTTTCGCTTGGTCGGTTTGGTCAGGAACATGATCTTCCAAAGCCACTCAACACCTCTTTTTTTTGGGAGGTTCCATGTTATTCTTGTTCAAGTTGTAACTCACAAAACAATCAACAACTGAGGTTAACCAGCAAGTGGTGGACCCAAAAATCGTCATCCCATTGGATGACCCAAAAATTCGCAAGTTTTGTGACACGCCTGGCTGCGACTATGGATGACCTTCTGTATGATGGGCCTAGCCTCACTTGGGCCCATCAAAACGACTCACTTGCGCCCACCTTCATGTGTACCTATCTTCATGTACATAAACAACCTTTTAGGGTTTATCTTTTTAGGGGACATGGGGGGGACTTGGGGTTAGGGGGGGACTTGGGGACAAGGAGAAGGGGAGTAGGTATCAACATGTACATAAACAACCATTTTAGGTTTATCTTTTTAGGGGACACGGGGGGGACTTCGGGTTAGGGGGCGACTTGGGGACAATGAGAAGGGGAGTAGGTATCAACATGTACATAAACAACCTTTTAGGGTTTATCTTTTTAGGGGGCATGGGGAGGACTTGGGGTTAGGGTGGACTTGGGGATGGGGAGTAGGTATCAACATGTACATAAACAACCATTTTAGGTTTATCTTTTTAGGGGAAATAGGGGGGGAATTGGGGTTAGGGGGGACTTGGGGACAAGGAGAAGGGGAGTAGGTATCAACATGTACGTAAACAAGCATTTGAGGTTTATCTTTTTAGGGGGCATGGGGGGGACTTGGGGACTTGGAGACGGGGAGTAGGTATCAAAATGTACATAAACAACCATTTAAGGTTTATCTTTTTAGGGGACACGGGGGCGACTTGGGGTTAGGGGGCGACTTGGGGACAAGGAGAAGGGGAGTAGGTATCAACATCTACCTGCGTCAAATGACTGAAAGGGCTGCACGGGCACAAGCGAGACAAATCCACGGGCACATGCGAGGCCGTATCCATGTATGAGGCTTTGCGGCCAAACTGCCACTTGCCCCTTGGAAAATTCTTACGTGGGTCGCAACTACATGCTGACATATGCTGACAACCAAATCATGGCACATGAAGCTGGAGTTTCAAAGAAATCAATGGCCGAAAGCTGGACTTCTTACTTCCGAAAATCAATATGCTAGTTGATTGCGCAAAGCTTGAGATGTGCCACGATGTCATTGAGCAATGTCTATGAAATGAAATCTGCAAAATCATGCAAAATCGCTCGCGGATGCAGAGCCACTAACGGGTTGCCCCTGGCGGATTTACAGCGACACGACATATATTGCCAGTTTTCATTAAATAGCAACATGCTTCTATGAAGCGATGGGTGCATTTCTGAGCATTTCTTGTTGATCAGATCATTGATGTCATTCAACATCAATTTCTCTGGGTCAGATCTGTGCGCACACCTTGCTGGTGAAATCACGGATTCTGATCCCAGGCATGAAGCCTCAACAATATGCTGAAAATGATATATTTTGCTGGTTCAAGATGAAGAAAAATGTCACTTGAATTTCGCAACTCAGCGCACCATAGCTCCAAGTACATGAGGCTCTCCATCTCTCTCAGGGCAACTCCAAGCCCTGCCGCAGTCGTGAAGTGCGAGGAACCTGTGAAGCGCAACTTCAACTGGACCAAAGATTTCAAACACTGCACCGTCGATGTAAACATGTCCAGAGTCTCAAGACCCGAGAATCCCAGATCTAATCGCAAAACGCGCAACTCTGCAGGAAGGCTTTGGATCAGCACATTGAGCTCATGGTCAGAGAAATTCCGGCATCCAGTCAGTGAAAGCTGCACTATCTTTCTACCAACGTCTGCCTTTACAGCTGTGGCCAGGAGTTCAGTGCATCTTCCTTGAAGGACAAATCCGTACCAGCTGGATAAGGCGAAGTGCGGAAGCAAGAGCTTCATCTACTCGCTGGAAATTCGGATCCCGCATGCGCCCATCAACAAACTCCTCACTTCTGATTTGAGAGCTGCAGCAGCAGCATAGACAACGGCAGCGGCCACTCGGCGCAGCAAAGCCGCACCATTCCGCTGCACCACGCAGCAGAGGGCCCACCACCCGCAAAGCTCAGCATGATAGCCGCACCATTCCGCTGCGTCGACCTGACGGCTCTGCTCAACGACCTCAAATAAGCGGCCAATAGAGAACTTTTTGAGGGTTTGCAAACTCCTTCGTGTGTCTTGTGAAACTATGGGCTGCCCCAAATGCACGACTCGCTTCTGGAGGGCCGCAAGCAGGAGTCTCATGACTTCTTGTTGTGTCGCTGGGAGCTTCTTGCACTTGTCTCTGAGTAGTGAAAGCACCAGGGGCAGCACCGTGGCCTCCAGAGAATCGAAAAGCTGCCGTTGCGCTTTGAAGAGCTTCACTTTGGCTTTGGTATGTCCAAAGTGGCACTCGCAGAGGACGCCGTTGGTGCACTTGGAGTAGAAAACACGGATGCATGGAGCTGCGCACAGCGATGACCGTAGCTTCCTCGAGAAATCGGAATGTCCTGAATTTGTCCAGTCAGGCGACTCTGTGTTTTTCTCCAATTCTCGGAGTCGACCGAAAGGATGAAAGTGGACAGTCCAACCCTATCACAAAATCATACAAAACAATACAAAACATGGATTCCCAAGCGTGAGTAGAGAAGACATGTCTTTTTTGGACAGCCCAAGAATTGCAGGTCAAAACAAGACTGAAAGAAGTCGAGCTTCTAAGTGCCAAGCGAAGGAATCAGCTGCCTTCTGCAGCAGTTTGTCCTCTGCTTCTTGACATCGATGCTCCTGAATACGGAGCGTGTAGCCCAACGACTATAAATTATAAGTTGAACTCACATTGCCAAAACCAAAGCAAAAATAACCAACAATAAACATTCATTCGGCACGCCTTCAATGCACAAAGTGCTAGGGAGAGGGGGTGACACAACTAATGCATGGACAAAATCAGCAAAGGCTGAACCTATGATGTCCTATCATAATAAATGAACGGCTGGACATAAAAACAGCGCACACACACAATCACACACACACACAGACGAAAACAAGCAACACATCAACAAATACAAGCATATGAATGGAATGGGCGATCGACGGATTGAGCATAGGTGTAACGGAACGAAGGATTGACCAACCACATCTATGCATGAACACACGAAAGCATGAACGGATGGGATGCATTCTGTGGCATATTCTGCATATGTGATCAATCGTAAAATATCACAGATTCATACAGATCCACATAGCATCGGTTGTGCAATTAGTTGACGAGTCAAATGCCCATGTTCAGTGGGTAAATGACACTGCTGCTGTTTTTGTCCATGCAAGATTCGATACTCTCCTTGTATCTTTCCCGTCAGAACACCAGTTATTTATCAAATGGACCGTGGACTACAAAAGCACCTTCAAAATTAGCAACCGGTTTAAGAATGAGTTTAACCATCTTTCGTGATGTTTCGTGGGTATTCTCCATCATTGGCCACCACATATCTTCCCCCGTTGCGTTGCCAAGCAGCTTGCTGCAAACCTTCCAGGCCGCTGCATGAATGTCGACGCAAAGAACCGACTTCGATCGTTTGCACGTGCTCAACCACCTCCAAGAAAGTGCGTCGGCACCTCAGAGTGATCCCCACGACGGAGTCCTAATTTTTGTCGAACTGGAAGACTTATGAAGGGTTCCTGTAAATGTTACATCTGTACAATTCTGGGATATACGAATTCTGAATAATTTGGGGCTGTAGGTTGTGAATGATTCTGGTTTGTTCCATCAAAGCATATTGTGCATATATATATATGATATTGTACATATACATATATTATACACATACATGATCATATATGAAATATTTTGGAATGGTCTGAGTATTTTGAAGACTGCAAGAGATGATTTGAGGCACCATTTTATTAACAAGTCATCTGAGGACGCCCAAAGAATTCCCCGAATCGACTCCTGTGGTGAACCAAGAGCCGAACGAAAATTCAGGGACTTGGACTGATCTGGATATGGCTGGTCATTTTTAGCACCAAAAAACCTCCAATTCTTGGGGTTGACCAGTAAGATCCAGTAAGATCATTACAATATATTACAATCACACATCTTTCAAATGATGAAAACGCTGAAACCCCGGTGGATCTTGTACACAATTCACAATAATTTGCGATTTTTGAACTACACGGAAATAGGGCTGTGCAGTGACCAAAGCAAACCGCGACTACGGATACTCAGACCCTGGGCACAATGCATCTATTTCACCAAGGTACCGCAAGGACATAGTCGGGAGATCTGGGAATACCCAGATCCGTCAGTTGACTGGCAGCCAGCTCTGATCCGAAACACTGAGAAAAACATGAAACAAATCTAGAGGAACAATGAAAAACAATGAAAACCATTCGACAAACAAAGCAAATCAACCTTTGAACTAAATCTTGAACCGTGTCTACATTTTTTTTGCCTTGTCGCATGTGGAGGTTGTAGAATTTTGAAGCTGCATGATTCCCAGCAGCTACTATCATCTCCAGTTGACTCATAAACTAGTATAAACTCAACGTGTCTCCAATGTTCATATTTGAAGGATCAGTTCTGGGCCGGACCACATCCCAGAGAATTTCAGAATATCAGAAAATCCTCCCCAACACTGGCTAACCTGAGATACCTGACCTTTGGAAAAATTGAGCACCTCCGTTTTTGACACAAAAAATCACCGAACCAAGCCATGTTTGCCGGGTGCATCACAGGGATCTGCCCCCCGCCCTCAGGGTCACCCCGAGACCTCTCAGGACCCTGGGACCCTGACCGGCATTTTGGATTCTCACCAGAATCTTGAACTGCGGACCCATGCCTGCGCTTGGCCATGAAATGAAGGTATTCATGGTATGCCGGTATGCACCGTTTGGAGACAAAACAACAACTGGGGGATATTTTTCGTTCACATACGGACACTATCTACTTGATTTTCCAGGGTTTTGGGTGGAATGCCTCCGTTCTTTGTTGGAACTGTACATCATTTTGCAATTTTGGGGTACACCCAGTCTTGGACCAACCATGACAGATCCGTATACCCGATTTTGTGACTGGTATCCCCCAAATCCTCTGTAAAATGGTTGGTTTCAGCCTTTTTTCATTGTAAAATCCCCAGGAAGTCTTTGAATCCCATTGAATCCCGTTAATACCCCATTGAAATCGTCTTTCTGCATTCTTATTGCTTAGTAATATCCCCAGGAAATATCATGAAATATCCATCCCCCCATAGCCCCATCGAGTGCCTAGCACTTGTGCGTTGATTCGCACCTGTGCTCCACCTGAAGAGGACCTAAGGGGTTTCGGCAAGCGATTTCGCCAACATGGGGGATATTTTGTGATGTGAATCGAGATGTACAGTATCAAGCTACGTGCGAACCATGTTTCCATATTATAGATAAGACAAGATAAGATACGATAGACAAGAGAAGATAAGAAAGATAATATAGATCAGACATATCAAATAGATCAAGTAGATCAGACAAACAGACAGACCTTCAGACAGACAGGCAGGCACGCAGGCAGGCAGGTGGATAGATGGATAAATGAATAGATGGATAGATGGAAAGATGGATAGATGGATAGATGGATGGACGGTTAGATGGATGGATGGATGGATGGATGAATGGATGGATGGATGGATGGATAGATAGATAGAGATATAGATATGGATATAGATATAGATATAGACACACATATATATATATACACACACACATATATATATAGAAGGATAGAGATAGATAGAATAGACAAATATAGATAGTTAGACAGTTCGATAAATAGATAGATAGGTAGATAGATAGATAGATAGACAAATCGATAGATAGATACGTACGATAGATAACCAAGATAGATAAGTAAGAAAGCAAAGAAATATAGATAAGTAACATGACAGGTAAGATAGACAAGTATAGAAAAGTAAAATAGATAAGTAAGAAATATAAGTAGTATAGATAAGTAAGATAGATAAGTAAGATAGATGCGCAAGATAGATAAGTAAGATAGACAAATAAGATAGAACAGTAAGAAAGAAAGATACAAAGATATAACGGTAGACAGATAGAAAGATAGAATGATAGAACGGTAGACAAATAGAAAGATAGAACGATAGACAGATAGAAAGATAGAACGATAGAAAGATAGAACGACGGATAGATAGATAGATAGATCGATCGATAGATAGATAGATAGAACGATAGAACGACAGAGATAGAGACAGAGATAGATAGATAGATGGATGGACGGATGGATAGATAGATAGATGGATAGATAGATAGATCGACAGATAGATCGATAGATAGATAAACAAATAGACAGACAAAGAGATAGATAGAAAGAAAGATAGATACAGTAGATAGATTGATGGATCGATCGATGGATAGATAGATAGATATAGAATTAGAGCGAATTAGATTAGATAGGATTAGATAGGTAGGATTACATAGATACAGTAGGATAAGAAAGATAGTATTAGATAGTTAGGATTAGATAGATAGATCGATAGATAGATAGATAGATCAATCGATAGATACAGGCGTAGACGTAGATACAACGGATAAGGGATGTGTATATATATATATATAAATCACATATGTATATATACATGTTTATATTTAATATCATAGATGTAGATGCAAACATGATGGATGAGGGATATGTCTATATTAGTATACTGAAAAATAGGTATATATATATATATCAGCTATATCAGACACAATATATAGATCTAGATACATATCTCTCACACATACATATATGTATATATATATGTACATATATATATATGTACATATATATCATATCAATCAATCAAATCAATCAATATATATATATACATCATGTGTATATGTATATATATATATATACATCTCATATATGTAAATATCATACATACACATATACATCATATATCATCTATATCATATGTGTCACACACACGTATGTATATATATATGTATATATATATATTCACGTCGCTTCGCGACGGCAACCGCCCGCACCGCATCGTTCTCTTCTACTGCCATTGTTCTCTTCTATTGCCGTCGCTCCGCGACAAGAACCCCTGTGCGGCCGCCACGGTTTGAACGATGTTGTTCTCACACCTTCGCGACCGCTCGTAACTGCCAATGATGTCGGCCATTGAGATCAAAAACATCCGAAAGTACTGATTGTCGGAAAAAAAAACGCGAAGAATTTGATAGCCATGTATAGCGGACCAACGCAGTTCAAAAAATAACGAAAAACATGAAAAACGGCGAAATTGCTGTTATTTACAGTGTTTTTGCGCGGTGAGAAGCAGAAACCACTGCAAATACCATGGTTTTTGAGGGTCAGGTGGCCAAAAACACTGTAATTTACAGTGGTTTTTTAACCAACGTCAAAAAACACTGGTATTTACGATGTTTTCATTCACACCGTAACATAAAACAGCGTAATTTACGAGGTTTTTGGAAGTTTTGAAGCTAGCCGTCAAGCATGCAGAAAACAGAAAAACACTGTAAAAACCAGTGTTTCTGCTATCACAAAACGACGAAAATCAGTCCGAAAACGGGTCCAAAAACTCAAAAATCCGCCTCCGGCCCGGCCACCTGCGGAACCGCAAAAAAAGATGTTGCAAACCAAAAAATTGAGGTCAAAAAGTTGAAAAACACAGGGTTTTTTCACTTTTCGCTTGCCGATTTTGGACGGGCGCGTTCACGAACAGGTGTCTTCCGTACTGTTTTTTACAGTGTTTTTTGAAGGCGAGCGTCCCGCCCTATCAAAAACAGGAGGTTTTGGCCGAAAAATGCCCCCCCCCCCAGGTAAACCTGTAACCTTTTACGAGTGCCATCCGGAAGATCACGCCCCAGCACCTTCGGCGCGGGCGGATTTACATATCATAAATCATACATTTGTGTACATATATACTGTATATAAATATAAATCACACACATATATAGATTATAGATACATATAATATGCAAGTATCTGATGAATATGGATATACTACAGCAACAACAATAACGGGGACATTTCCAGGGCTGTTCACGAAGTGCTGGGGTTCCTGACATAGGCCCGTGCCCGGTGCCCAGCAAGTTCACATACCTGGCACAGTGCGGTATGTACATCATTGTATATATTTGTATATCGATTGTAGACTATACCATATATATATACAATATACAGAACATCAACATACTATATACTATGTATTCTATGATATATATATAGGATATAGTATATATAATATACGTATAGTAAAACATATCTATATGTATATCGCAAATAAACATGTATACAATGTATATATATATATACAATCTATATATATATATATACATACAATATCCTTGGCCCCAAAAGATATCCTTGGCCCCAAAAAACATGTTGCCTGTAAATAGTCAACAAAAATCTGCTCGTACATTCTGCATCATCCGGCATCATCTTGCTATTTGGGACTCAGAGACTCACTTGGCTAGTCATTTCGACACCAAAGGAATCTCCCCCCAAACTGCTGATCAAACCGCAGATGGAACCGCAGCACTGAGAAGAACGCGTTATCCATGCAGCCGACGTAGACATTTTTGTCCTGGCAGGGGCAGTCTTTTTAAAGCGTGTAAAGGCTATCATACACGACGAATCGATGCATAATAAGCAAGATTGGAAGGACACCTAAGCTGATTAATCGGTACCTTGTCGTCCCACACAACTTGGAAGCCCAAACCCTCCGAATCACTTGGATATACTTGGATGCTGCTTGTTGACTTGAGATTTTCAGGGATTTTCCATATCTATCCATATCTTTCAATCCAAGAATCTCCTGAAGCTGGAATGAAGCTGGAATGACCAAGAAAGCGCCCAGCGAAATGGGCTCTGGGGATCCCCAACAAATCTGACGAGTCCCACAGGCTGAGTCTCCAATTCGATGACATTGCTGAGCACCTCTGCAGATTACGCAGTGCTTTGCGGATGCTGTTTTGATATAGATGTCATGTAATTCATGTAGTAGGGCTACCCAATAAAATTAAAATGGGACGGTCTACTCAAAATCTCCGAGAAGCGACCCACAAAATGTCACTTCTGACGTGAACATCTCAGTATGACAGCCGACAATACCTGGTAAATCCTGGTAGTACCTTGGGGTCATTACCCTAAATTTTCACCATCGAAAAGTCCCAGCCATTGCCTGTCCATTTTTGACAGTGTAGATATTCCCGTCTCTGCAGGCCACCGTGATCCTGGTACCGTAGCATTGTGAGCACAATGATGTAACTCTTACACATAGGACATTTCATGTAGCATTTCAATGTATATTATTGTATATTATTGTATGTTATTGTATGTTATTGTATATTATTGTATATTATTGTATATTATTGTATATTATTGTATATTATTGTATGTTATTGTATATTTTATAATACGTTTTATATTTCAGTATCATCATGTATCATCTATGAATATCCATTCATAGCATATTCATAGCGTTTCACATCGCATGAACACAGATGCGCCTTTCAGTGGCAACTTTATGCCACTTTTTTTGGCGCCCTGTCCTGTACTCCACATCAAACAGCCCCAGCACTGAGATGAAGGTGGGTACAGCTTCCAACTTCACCTTGGCTGCCAGGTTCAATGCGTTGCTGTCCAGAATGTAGATCATCCTGTTCTCCGTGCCGATCACCAACATGCTGACCTCGTCGTGGCTCGTCTGGCTCGTCTAACCCCGTGTTTGTTAAAAAGGCCGCGAAAGGGGACTGGTGTTAAATGGATGGGTTTGGGGTTGTTAAATGGTATCATCATCTATCATGAATCTGGTTGGTGGTGCAAAAACCATCTTGAAAAATATGAGTTCGTCAATGGGAAGGATGACATCCCCATATATGAAATGGAAAATAGAACAGGTTTGAAACCACCAACCAGATATTCTACAATACTACCATGCTGGGCTCTCTGTTTTCACCTGTCCTTGCAAACACTAATACAGCCTTTTCCTTTCCATCAAACGGATGTCGACTTTAAAAAGGGAAAACTGCCGCAAATCCATTTGGTAGATGGTCTTGAATCACAAACATGTAGTCATCAGTATTTCATTTCTAGTCTTCGGTGAACTATCCCAGGAATGGAACAGACATTGATATCAAGGCAGTGGGGGGCCCAGTGGGGGACGGCCCAGTGGGAGGTCACCAACCAACCCACTCAGATGTGGACTGCAGTTGGCTCGTCCATGTTTTGCTTCAGAACCTGTTGTGGTTTCTGAATGGGGACCATTGGGACCCCGATGACCTCTGAAAACCACAACGGATGGCGCATGGCGGCATGGCGCTCTGGGGCGCCCAAAACAACCAGCCTCCGTACATGTGATGGAGGTCTGCTGCTCATGCAAGTATTCCTCCAAGCACGGCAACTGAACTGATGGAAGATACATGGCCAAAATATGCCAAAATGTCATCACAGTTCCGAGACAACATGAGCCATAGAAAGAAGATACAAGACCAGGGCCAAACATTTGCTGACCTCTTAACCACATCCTCCTAGTAACAGTTGTCATCCCACTTGGAACTAAGGTAAGCGAAGACAAAATTGCTTTAAATGGTTTCAACCCAACTTGCAAACATCTTCCAACTGCTTCTTGGTAGCAAAAAAACATCACATTTGTCGGCAGCAAGTCCTTGTGAGCGCGAATGTATTCGGTCTGCGCTTCTAATTCCTGTTGTCTACAAGGCAGTGGTATGCACCAACAAAAGGATCACCGTTGGGCGGATTTGTTTAAGAATGGGGTATCCCAAAAAGCCAATGGTCTATCACGGTCTATCATGACTTTTCCCCATTCAACTTGGCATTATTGGGGTATCCCCCATTGGACCAGCCCATTTGCCTATTGATCATTGATCAGCTGCTCTTGTTTTCATATTTTCATTGATACATATTTCATAGGGAAGCTACATGCTTCATTGATATCATTGATGCTATTGCCGATCAGCGCTGGTGATTCAGATTTAGGATCATTTGGGTTCTTGGGCTTGGGCCCAATTTTTAGGAGTTTTCAAGTTGCAGCTTGTGAACGTTGACAATCCAAGCTTTTCATCTGCCAGAAATCATCTGGTTGGTGGTTGACCTACCCCTCTGAAAAATGATGGAGTTCGTCAGTTGGGATGATGATATTCCCAATTATTACTATTATTATTATTATTATATATATATATATGGAGAAATGAAACATGTTCCAAACCACCAACCAGTCATAGTGTCCAATGGCGACTCAGAGCCAATTCCACCCAGCGGTGCTGCCTCCACAGCAAGGAAATCGATGGAGAGGTTGGACAGGGCCACCCCGTTTTCACCTAGGAATGGGGTCGCCCACGGCCGCAGCACCATCGAAGGCAGGGCTACCACTAACGAATGATTGTTGTGCCAAACATCCAAGCAAACCGACTACATCACTTCATAATATAAATACATTACATATATTAATCCCTTCCCCCTAATGTTAAATGTCCCCCTAATCAAAACCTTGGTGAAATTTATTGGATATATTCAATTTTTGCGTCAACAAACATTGGAGGCAACCAAAATATTGGCAACATATTCGCACTTTGCAAAATTAGCACATAGCAACATACCCTCTGGTAAACTAACATAGCTATTGAAAATGGCCATAGAAATAGTGAGATTTCCCATTAAAAATGGTGATTTTCCATAGCTATGTTAGTTTACCAGAGGGTATATGTGAACTATATGTGAACTACAGAAAAACACAGTCCGACACTTCCAGGATGATTTCCAGCCCAAAGGCGGGCCCTCGAGACGGGCCAAAACCTGGGCCCCACGGCGTGCCGTGTTCAGCCGTTCGAAGCCAGCCTGGATGTCACTGGAGTCCTGGCCCATCTCCTTGACCGAGCCATGGAGGGACTGAGTGGAGATCAAACCATTGGTTAAACCATCCTTTTTGGATCTTTTTGGAAGATGATCTTAGTATATCTTAGTGATGTCTAGATTTTTTTTACAGATGTCTTTAGTATCAAACCATCCACTTTTTCTTGACTTTAACTCATGCCCAATAGGGAGATGACTGGATAAAGATGGGAAAATCAGCAAACAAGACCTCAAAATGAGTACGCACGGATTTCCCCATGAACCCATCATGAACACATGGTTTTTGTCTCTGCAAATTGGGTATACTCCCCATGAACTCAGCCATTGAGTGATGATGATCATCCATTGGCTTTGGGGCACCCTCTTTTCAAACATGCGGTTAGAAGTACCTGGGAAGTTCATGGACCTTACCCAATAGTTTTATTCTGACACCACAATGCCGTCCAAGTGTATTCCATTCCAAAGAGTTTTGATAGTTTTGTAATGGGACATTGCATATTATGTATGGATATGTATGGATGATGTTCTCATTCATAGCTCCATCTTTGATCATCTTTGGGGATATTCAATTGCCATGTTCACCGGATGTGTCTCCTCCCAGATCTGGGATTCCACAGGGTCAATCTCTATGGGTGGCAGCCGGTACCTCAGACCGTGTGACCTCCCGGGGAGCTCCAGGATCTCACAGGATGCGATTTCTGGCAGCAGTTCTCATAGCTTTCACATCATCATTTCCGTGAAATGTATGTTGAAAGAGAACTAATTGATGTTTATATATAATAATAGTTTCATCCAATTAATGATTATTATAATAATATAGATTCATTGATGAAAGCTTAATTGATTATTATAATAATATAGACCTCTCACCTTTCCAGTTTCATCATCCAAGCTTCAACACCAAGCCAGCACATGAGATATCATACATTATCTCATGGCGCACTGCATCGAAGGCCGCATATTCCGGAAGATCAAGACCTTGCTGAATCGTCACTTGAGATCGGTGGAAAGTGATAAATCATACCAACTTCGATTAAAAATCCTTTTCCTGGTTCCAAAGAAGTATGTGGCTGCTTTGAATATATATATATATATACACATAGTGGATATACATGTGTATATATAATATACATATTATATATACATATATCTTCCCCTGTATGTAAGACACATACTTGTCCTATGCATATCTATGCATTATATCATATCGACCTGGTTACGCTTATGGATGGCGATAATGACACAAACACAGCCTGCCACCGGTGCCCAACCCTTGGCCCCCAAACCCTGTGACCGCTCGCAACTGCAAGCGTTGGAATGGGTGGGTTGCCTACCTGCACAGCTGTGGGATGGATCAAAAATGATCAAAACCCGGCGCAACCCTAAACCCCAAACATCAAAATAGCTGGCAAATGGATATTTCCCTCAAAAATCCTACTAGCCGTATTGACCAGTGACCCATCCCATTCATTTATTGCATTTCTTGCAAGATCTCGGATTGTCACTTGCGCAATTTTTTCCTGCGGCATTGGATCCTAAATTGCCAATTCAGAACAAAAACTGTGTTAGTTTCCGAAGGAGTTCTGCATTGTATGACCTAGGACCGTTTGCATCGTTTTGCCACCTTTCTCGCTGGCAGGGTCCACCAAAGTCGGGACCTAAATGGCGCCCCCGCCTCGTGGTAAAAGGCTTGGACGGCGCAGGGCACATCTGGCAGCTTGTGCTCCCACTGGATGGTGGTGCCCTGGCGAAATCATCCAAATCCTGGTTGGTGGTTGACCTACCCCTCTGAAAAATGATGGAGTTCGTCAGTTGGGATTATGACATTCCCAATATATGGAAAAATCAAACATGTTCCAAACCACCAACCAGAAATTTCAATTTTCCATCTAAAACATATTAAAACAACGTAACACCCATCTCATCATCTCTCTCTGCCAACCTCATCTTTGCCAAGCATCCTCTCACCATGTTGTCTTTACCATTCGGCATCCAACATTTGGCTGTCGCAGTGACCCTTGGCCTTGTACATTCGAATGCGCTTCTTCATGTCAACCTGCAAGGCGAGCCACATCCAGTGGCCTGTGGGATCCCACAAGGGTCAAAGGGCCCCATCGCCACTGGACTCGCCACTCCAAGGGACTGAAGATCGCTAAAAAAAGACCCTGACATCAACATTGACACTGCAATCATCCAAAACTATGGCTATAATATGCTATAATAATCATCAACATGCTCGGAAAACCACTGTCCGAAATGTCCAAAATGATCAGCAGAATCATCGACGTACGCATCAACTATCGATCCATCAAAAACTCCAACATCAACTATCGACCCCCATTCGAGGCATCCATATCGGCCCACCATCACCAAGCGGTGGTCGCCATCCGCTACGAGGTCGGCTAGGCATAGGAAAGACCTCCAGTGATCCAATCCATTTCACCAGCTGCTGGGTTTTTGGAAGCATTCTAAACACAGGTGATATCTGATATTATCTAACAATCCAATGACCTTGGGGATGGGGCTAAAATATATCATTTGATAACTATAAAATAACTATCAAATCTGCTTGGGAAACTCAAACTCAAACCATTGTTGGATTGGGAATCTTACAAACATAGCCGACATAGAAGCGCTCCAGAAAAACGGTAGCCTCATGGCTGAATTCGAATGGAAAATCATTTGGGCTTCAGACTTCCACTTTGACAACACGTGGGACATGGAGCCATGGCCGCCATGGCCGCCATGGCTGTGTAGCGGATCACAGATCAACTGTGGGTTCCTGGCGAATAGCAGCTCATGCCTGCAACTGGGTCATGCCAAGCCTCGGTGCAATCGGTTTTTTACATATCTTCCCACTGAAATACCCAAGGGCCTACAGAAATTGTAAACGGGGACTTCATGTATAAGGGGCCCAAAAAAAAAATCATCAAAGCGAATTTCATATGATCGTGGGTATGTGATTTCATCATATTTCATCCACGTATGTTTCATATAGTCCATTGTGCTCCAGATCAATTTTGTCAGTTACTCCCAATTAGGAGTACCATTTTGGTTAGTGAACTCACTAGATTCGAAGGTAGAGGACAAATTCATGGCATTCATGGTTCTGAAGTTCAACAGTTTCACCCATTGGTTCACACCATAGCAACCCCCCAAAAAGATCAACGTTTAATGCATACAAAACCACACAAATCCTACCAAGACAGAGCCAATTTTTCAACCTTTTCCATCTTTCCGAGGGTTAAATCACTGGTAATCTAACAGTTTGCTAGGGAACATCACCATGCTATGAATAACTAAATCATCGACCTATATTCATGATATTCTGGGCTATACCATAGCAAACTGCTAAATTACCAGAGGAATCCAGAGGATATATCATGATAGATCCCCAGTTACTCAGTTACATATTCCATGATCTTCGAAGAATTATCCCATCCCCAGCTATCCCCCAGGGTCTCCAAGTGTGTTGCCATATCCCTAGGGATCCCTAGGGACTCGGACGTCGAGCCACGGGCTCTTCTTCTTCTCTGGCTCTGCCTCGAGGATTTCTGGTAACTGGGTCACAACCTATGCGCAAAATGTGTGTGTATATATAAATGTATATATATATAAAAATGTATATATATATATATAAATGTATATATATATATGTATATATATATATGTATATATATATGTATATATATATGTATATATATATATATGTATATATATATGTATATATGTATATGTATATATATATATGTATATATATATATGTATATATATATATGTATATATGTATATGTATATATATATGTATATATATATATATATGTATATATATATATATATGTATATATGTATATGTATATATATATATATATATATGTATATATGATTATATATGTATGCGCACATCATCGCACATATGTATGTATGATCTTGAATGATTATGTATGTAGAGTGTAATATAGTAGCCACCCCAAAATAGAAACGTAATTGACGTGTACACCATGATTCTAGTGGTATTTTACTTATCCAATTTTTGGCTAGGTTATAATATGTGGGTCAGTTCCCCGACACGATTACATCAGGATTCAACATGCCTAAAACATTTCAACGTTTCTCAACATTGGGCTACCTCCAAACCAGGGGGTTTCCCACTATATAAATATGACATAATATAACCATTTCTTGGATGATTTTGGGGTCCACCGCTTCATGACATCTATACATCTGAGGACGTTCATCTTCCAGCTTGGCACCCTGACATCTTTGGCCTTGGGAGCCTCCACCTTGCTTCCTGCACCAGGAAGGGGAAAAACTATTGCAAAATGATGATATCCTCCAGTAAACTAACATAGCCATGGAAAATGGCCAATTTTAGACGAATTACCTCCGAGATCCTACAAGTACTAAACTTGTGCTTTTCCATAGCTCTGTTGAACTGCCAGAGCGTAAATGATGTGAGTATGACATGAGTAGATATGGATAAGTAATGATAAGTATGCATACAGCAACTGATGCAATTGTATTCACAGGAGTCAACCTCGTTTATGAATACCCAACAATACTTGAGGCAGTGCGGCAAGAAAACATGGTGGCTGCTGGGGCCGCAATAAGTTCTGTGAGGACACTGGGATGACCAGCTCATGACTGTGACAGAGGACAAGCAGGGGCATCACATTGACATCACAAATGAGTCATCAGGATTTATCCGATATTTTGAATCGAAGCAACATCCTTTTGGCCCATCCTTTGTGGCACATTCATAAACAGGTGAGCTGATCTTCAACGGAGCCATCTCCACCAGAGTCTGGAGACCCAACCACAGATTGCTGCAATCCTGGCAGACAGTGTCTTGAACTTGCTGGACACTGGTGAGGCGATATTGAACTGCCGAGCTGTTTCCACCAAAGTCTGGATTGCCCCATGTGAGGATCCCACTATCTCCACAGGGCAGCCTGTGTTGCCGCAATCTTTGCAGTGAGCAGTCAGGTGGTCCCCTGAGATTCCAGATCAGGACACAGCAGTGACAAGCCTCAAAACCCTTGTCCCAAAGACTTCTGGGCCAGAATCCTTAGATATCCTTAGTAGCTTTAGTCCTACTTTGGAGGCAGACTCGAGATTTGTTCGCAGGGGATTTGATGCTGTCATGGTGGAGAACACAATCCAGATATCCCAGGACTGGCAGCCATGAAACACAGTCAGATCAGTCCAGGGTCTACATGTTTCATCATGTTTCAATGTTTGTCATTCAGCCAAGTCTGGTTCCAGCACGCCATTCAGAAAAATCACATTATGAATTATTCACGCATGGATGAGCATTGCTTCCCAGCCTGGATTCAAACAGCCAGGATTTGTGCATTCCCTACTATCCTGTTGTCCTGATGATCATTCACCCCTTCACTCACAGTAACACCACCACATCAACATCCACATCTACCATTTTTTTCATCCAAAATCTGCCACTGAAAACAGGATTTCCAACCACATCTTGGAGGATTTGTGGTAGGTCAGGTGTCAGTCCAATCAACATCTGACCATGGTTTCTACCATCTGGCTATTTAACATAGCCATGGAAAATCACCATTTTTAATAGGTAAACCATTTATGAATGGGCCATTTTCCATGGCTACGTTAAATAGAGTTGAAAGAACATCTCCGTGTTTTCTTCCGAAATCGGTCGGTTAAACATGGGCATCGTTGGGCGAACACCATTTCAATCCATATACAAACCATCAACCACCAAACACATAGGCTAGGGCTTTCCTGATTGTTGCAAACGTTTCCCTTGAACTCTTGCCAATTCCGGACAAGTTCTCCCTCTCTCTCTGTGCTCTCTGTGTCTAAGTTGGGCATTCCAAACCTGGCCTTTAGCCTCTTTGTGTGTCTAATTTGGGCATTCCAAACCTGGCCTTTAGCACCTAAAAATGACATAACGCGGGATCCGACGTATTGAAGAATATCATCAATGACACATGTCATCTGTGGTAGCCTGGGTGGGACACTTTTCCCTCCAGTCGCCGAACACCCCGGTCCTGCGGGTACCTCTGCCATGGAGTTAGCCTGGCAGCATTTTGTGCTGTGGACTTGCAAGGAACTCACCAACGGTATCTGGGCCACCTCAGAATTTCACATATTTTCATACATGGAGGTTTCCTGAAATGGGGGTACCCCTAGTTATCATCCACTTATAGATAGGATTTTCCATTCGAAAGCATCCAGCTATTGGGGATGCCCCATGACTATGGAAAGCCATGGGTTTCACCCCCACCTCTTTGAACTCACGGCAGGTTGCGCGCCATGTCTTTGTTTGGCTCAAGCTGGAACCAGGCCGCGGAGTGGCTTTGTGAAGAACCGGATCCATCGATGATTTTTTGCAGATGATCAGATATCATGGATGGATCTTGTTCGAGAGTTATATCCGGAATCATGAATCCATTTGGAATTATTCGCATTATTCCATCAGATTTTATAGATGTATCATGATGTATCCCAGAAACTCCAAGGATTCCAACCTCGACCCCTCAGAGACTGATCTGAAGAGATTTGATGATCCTGGGCACAACCTGCGATCCTCTGTTGACTGAGGTTCATTTTGGAGTTCAGCAAATGTTCACATCGAACGACCATGGCACTTTTTGAGCCTTGCCACACTGTTGCCTCAAATCGCAAACTGTTGACATCGACTATACAATACTCTTCTGTACACGTCCTGAGCAAGAACTTCTCACCGGGTTAGCGGTGCTGCGAGTTCTGGATCCCTGCACATTCTGTGCAGTCCAATTTCAGCCAGCCTGGAATAGAAGCCCTGAGGATATGAAAACACCAGGCCACATGCCCTCCGTTGATCTATTCCAGGATGTGTCTACATGCATTTTGGCGACAGGCCGAAGGGCCAAAGTGAGAGACGGGGAAAGCAACGATCCTTATGAAACACCATGAGTGGTGCAGGACTTACTACATAGAATAGCAGAGGATTGATCGATTGGACGTTTGTATACAGCAAATTCATGGCCAAATCTAGGGATGGTAGGGATGGAGCGGTCAAAACGCCCGGTAGGAAAATGTGCAACTGGATCCCCAACAACAGCTCTACAGTACGTAGAAATGCATGCTGCTGCAATGCAGTTTAGACTTGCGTATACAGTAGTCCAAATGGACTCTATATGGCTTGATACGACATAGATAGCATCAGGATGTTTGGCACACTTCGGCAACAATCATGCGCCCAAGGATTCCCCCTTGTGGAGATCCGCTAAAGCGGCCGCGGGCCGAGGAAAGATTCTGCGAGTCAACCAGTGTCAGATAAACGTTATCAGAGCACGTTGTTGCTTTTGAAATAAGGTACATCTTCACTTCTATGATGACGATTGTGATGATGAAGACGACACTGACATGTCCATATTCAAGATGAATATAAAGTACATGGAAGTACATGTTTCCTGATATACATATACATATATATATATATGTATATACATACACATATACATACATATTATATATATATATATTATAGCATGCCTACATACCATACCATACCATACCATACCATACCATACCATACCATACCATACCATACATACCATATATACCATACATACCATGTATACTATACATACCATCCATACCATACATACATACAATACATACCATACATACATTACACACATTACATACATTACATACCATACATACAATACATGCATCCATTACATAACATTATATTACATAACATTACATACCATTACATAAGATTACATAACATTCGATAACATTACATAACATTACATAACTTTACATGACATTACATACCATTATATAATATTACATAGCATTACACACCATAACATTACATTACAAACATTTACATACATATACATATATATATATACATATATATATATGTATATACATACATGCATGCATGCATGCATGCAAGCATGCATGCATACATACATAACATAACATAACATGACATTACATTACATACATATATATATATATGTATATATATATGTATACATATACATATACATATACATATTATATATTATACATATATATATATAATATATATTTATCAAATACCTTTCCCGGTACCATACGAATCTCAAGGAAGTCTGTATATACATATATATATATATGTGTTATCACACTTGGCTGACGCGCCGTTTTTGAAAACATCGCCGTTGACCTACGAACTCTGCGGTGATGACTGTGCTCGTTTGAGGCATTACAAGCTCACTACCTGGGTCAAACGAAGTGATGGTGTCTGACACAGAGACAGTGAACTCAGTGCAAAAAACGGCCACTTGATTAAAATCATTGAAACTCATTTAAACCTATATAAATAAGCTAGAATAATCAATAATAAATATGATTTATTAGATTATAATCATTTAAAATCCTTTAAATCTATGATAATCAAACAATCTATAATTAATAATCAATATAAATATCTTTAATAAAAATATAATCTATATATCATTTAATAATCATTAATAAATAATCAATATATCAGGATTGCCATCATTTGCCATCACCATCCTCAAGTTAGAACTCAGGTCCACACAGAGTCTGGCTGCACCACAGCAACCTGGAACAGCCAGGGGGAGACCCTGCCCTGTCGGCTCCGTTGTACCAACCCCCCCCTGCCTCTCCCAACCTCGAAACGTGAGGTTGCTCCCTCCTGGCGTTTTTTTTTGTGATCTCTACTAATCCACATCTGGAGAGCACCATTCCCATGATTCCCCATGATTTCCCCATGGTTTTTTTTTGCTTAGCAAATCCAACATCACATGATGTCTGGGAAGCCCTTCACGCACATCGCACCATCCCAACATCCACGAAGTCGTCATGTCACCAGAGCCTTGGTTCATTTCGTTCTTGACTTCGTTCTTCCGTCCGGTCCTCGAGAAGTTTCGATACAATCCACGAGACGATCTATGATGGCCAAGGAACAGCGTTCCCCTATGAGAATTCCAGATGGTGAGTGCTATATTCCCTATTGACGAATGCCAAGACCCCCGTCCATACCATATCAGTGGTTCATATCCAATGCAAGTGCCAAGTGTCTTTGAATGACTTCTTATGTTGTCCTCTTCAGCATTTGTTAAGAATATGTTAAGAATAAGTACATTTAGATACCAACTTTTGAAAGTACAGCACGTTACCAACAGGTCCTGATACACACGGGGTCTAGTGAAAGTACCATAGCTTATCAATCTCATGTAGTGCTTTCACAAGCAAACAGAACAATGACTGAATCAGACAAATCCCCAGATATGGATTGTGGCCGTCGTCCGTGGACCCTCGACATGATACCCCAACAAGCGCGTCCAGAAATTACATATTAGTGATATATATATATATATATAATTATATATATAATATCTAATCGAAATATGAATTTCGATCCATCTAATGACTCTTTGGTTATTCTTTCATGAAACTGTTTCCCAACTCAAAGACCATTCATCCGTTTATCCAGTTTTTCTATGCCCAGTGACCTGCCCAGATGCGAAGATATATGGTGATGGAAGTCTCAAGGTCTGCCCGATGGGGATTTCCGTCATGGCTGGACCATTCCGAAAGATAGGAAAACAGCTTCCTTAAGGAGTTGAATCATGGCATCCCCGAAATTTTTGCATCTTTTGTGTAAAACAAACAGTTGGAGTCGTTCTGTTTCTTCCTTCAGAGTTTCCGTTGGAAGAAGAGAGCGTCAAGACTTCAAGAAGTTCTTGATGCTTTGATGCTTTGATGATGCACTGATACACGGCTAATACTACATGGTAATACAAAACACATAATGAGTGGTCATGTTGCGATCCAATTTTCCATAAAACCACATCCTCGTCCTGTTCAAATCTAGCAGTTTCACCAGTTGAAACCCATTGAAGGGAACACTTATTCCATGGTTGATTAAGCTCCCCATACAGAAGTTGCTGATTTAAACATCCGCTTGGCTTAAAGTTTTTCCCCACGAAAATCGTCCAACGAAACAGCACTGAAGATTCCAAAAAGGTCTCAGTGGAAGTGGCACGGGAGTATAGGTTTGTCTGAACATCACATACACCAAAATCCATTGGTTTATGATTTTCCCATATTTTCCCTATTAAAAATGGCAATTTTTGGGCTATCCACCATTTTTGGTTCCCTGGCCCTGGGTGCTTTATGGTCATCTCAACACTTGACCATCCTCCGGGTCTGTCCCCATTTTATCCGAGGAGATCTTCACTATATCCCAGCTTATATCCCATTGCTATTCATTGATTTCCATTAAAAAAAAATTGCACCCACATTATATCCCCAGTTGGTTGGTTGAAGCTTCATTTTTGTTGCTTAATCCACCATCTAACATTCCCCCGCTGGTTATATCTCCACATACTTCCTAGTGCTGGTTAGCACAACCCCATTATCTCCCGTGAAAAATCTCCATGCCATTCCCAATTAATGAATGATATCTCCACCATTTTTCTATCATTGGTCCCATTCCTACAATTGTTCAAACGGGAAAAATTGCCGGAATCCATATGACCCCCCCGTGTTTGCCTGGGAAAAACATGGTTTCTTCTAGATTTTCCTTTAAATTAATTCAGCAACCCATACCCTCTGGTAAACTAACATAACCATGGAAAATCGCCATTTTTCATGGGCAAATCCACTAGAAATGGCCATTCATTTTCAATAGCTATTTTGACATAACCAGAGGGTAATCCCCTGAAATCTCTGCCTCATCCACCGCTTCCGTCGGCCCGTCGCTGGTCACCGAGTCCGTGTCGACCTCGCTGTCCGGATCAGAGGCTGATCCGGACTCGGAAGACCTGGCCGTGTCATGTGGAAAGTCAGCCGGATCTTGCCGTATTTAAAGGGACTCTTGTTGATTTATGGCTATGAACACATGTGTTGTATTTGCAGTATGTAAATTATGATATTTATAATATTGAAACACATATACATACACCATTACACCATTGTCTGAGTATGTCATGGTGGTGCCACATGGTTTCTTGTGGTTGTTTGGACAACTGTGATCAGTGCTGCCCAAGCCGCTCGGTATCAGATTGCCAGGCATACATCCCAACCTCAGCAGCAACCAGCCACTAAAAACCTTGGGTCTGGGTCGCACCGAAGGTGCTGAGGCGTTTCTTGTGTGCACGCATTCACCGGAAGCAATTGCAATAGCTACTAAGCTTTGGCTTCGGGGGGCCCTCTATTATAGAATCCTGTGTTTTGTTTTTCCAAGTTTTTGAAAGGGGACCTAAAATCAGCTAACGTTGCCAAACTTGGTCTCAACATGGCCCAACATAGGCCCAACATGGCCCAAGACAGAGCCAACATGGGCCCAACACGGGCCCAACATAGGCCTAGCATGGGCCCAACATGGCCGAACATAGGCCCAAGACAGAGCCAACATGGGCCCAACATAGGCCTAGCATGGGCCCAACATGGCCGAACATAGGCCCAACATGGCCCAAGACAGAGCCAACATGGGCCCAACACGGGCCCAACATAGGCCTAGCATGGGCCCAACATGGCGGAACATAGGCCCAACATGGCCGAAGACAGAGCCAACATGGGCCCAACATGGCCGAACATAGGCCCAACATGGCCCAAGACAGAGCCAACATGGGCCCAACACGGGCCCAACATAGGCCTAGCATGGGCCCAACATGGCCGAACATAGGCCCAACATGGCCCAAGACAGAGCCAACATGGGCCCAACATGGCCGAACATAGGCCCAACATGGCCCAAGACAGAGCCAACATGGGCCCAACACGGGCCCAACATAGGCCTAGCATGGGCCCAACATGGCGGAACATAGGCCCAACATGGCCCAAGACAGAGCCAACATGGGCCCAACACGGGCCCAACATAGGCCTAGCATGGGCCCAACATGGCCGAACATAGGCCCAACATGGCCCAAGACAGAGCCAACATGGGCCCAACATGGCCGAACATAGGCCCAACATGGCCCAAGACAGAGCCAACATGGGCCCAACACGGGCCCAACATAGGCCTAGCATGGGCCCAACATGGCCGAACATAGGCCCAACATGGCCCGAGAGAGAGGCAAGATGGGCCCAACACGGGCCCAACATAGGCCCTACAAAGGCCTAACACAGAACATATAGGGTTGTATTGGAACTTCGGAGGTGACACTCCGGTGCGGGTGGTGATGGCGAATCGACCAGAATACCAAATTTACCATCAGAACATAAATCATAGACATCAAATGAATTTAATCAATTAATATATATATATATTATATCTCACGATATGATGAATCTAAATCTATCATGTGGTTGGGAAACTGTGATCGTAGCTTCTGGGCTCCCCATTTGATCAAAAACTCCATAATTACCCATAGATGCCAGCTCCTTAGAGCCACACCATTGGTCACTCTTAGGATCTGCCATTATGGTTGGCCAGAAGTCATCCTGGTGAGTACATCCCACTAAATGGGCTTGTCTAATTCTTTATCATGGGGTAAACAAGGTGGGTATCAACCAGCAATACACTGAACACTCTCCTCTCCATCGCCATGGAGATCTTACTGGTGTTGGCCAATTTTCTCCAAAATAGCCATCTATGGGTGTATTTAACATATAATTATATATATATATACACATACACACATACAAACATATACATAAGCAAATAAATGCATAAATAAATAAATGAATAATATATATATAATAAATACTGTAAATAAACATAGTGTAGATAATGCAATACAATACAATACACAGATTCACCCCCGATTTCCGTTTCGACTTTTCGGGAACTCGGACACCGTACCGGTGGCATCTCCAACTCCTCCACCGCACGCTGCGACAGGGCGCGCAGGGCTCGATTCATCGCCGCCGTCGGCGCTACCACCTCCGTGGGATGCGGGGGATCCAGGGGCTGGACACTTGGAAAATCTGGGAAATTGGCCAACCCAAATGGTTTTTTCACATGTTTTAACTTAAGAAAATCCAGGGGTTGGACTCATTATCTTGAAAATATTTGAAAATCCATGATTTTAACGATTCTTAATGAGTCTTGATTCTCGATGATTAAGAACATGATGATTCTGAATGATTCTGAATGATTCAGACCCCATTTTTCATTAAATAGCTAATGTCCGCGAATGGATATGAACATAGATAAACATGGTCTATGTCTGCGAAAACTCGTGTTAACGAGAAAAATGAGTCGCACTGATTTGACATGGTCGATGACATGGCTGTTTATGGCTCCATGATGCTCCATCATATATGGAGGTTTCCTAAAATGGGGCTACCCCTAGTTATCCTAGTTATCATCCACTCAAAAATCCTAGGATTTTCCGTGAAATTAAGCCAAATAAGCCATCTATCGTTAGGGTGTCCATGGCTGTCCCCATGACGGTGTCCCCCCGGAACTCAGCAGCTGCCTCTGGCATTTCTCTGAGTGGCAGCACCTGCGACGTGGGAAGGCCTGATCATCCTCGTAGGATTTGGAAGTTGGAAATCATGGCTAAACAAACAGTTTGCTATAGAAAATCACCATCTTTATATAAATAATAGGTTAATGACAAAAATATGTAGGTTAATCATGGTTACCCTCTGGTTATTTAACATAGCCGTGGAAAATCACCATCTTTAATAGGTAAACCATCTATTTCTATGGGCCATATTCCATAGCTATTGAACATGGCAATAGAAATAATTGATTTACCCAGCTCTAAAATGGATAAAATGCTGATGTTCCATAGTTTTTTGTATGTTTTTTGTATGTTTACCAGAGGCTAATTCCACAGCACATTGATCCAGAAACATTGGACCAGGACATGAGGTCGGACCCGACCGGACCCGACCTGCGAGCCCACCATTGCCATGCCCGCAACCATCTCTGACCTGCATCCAATCCCAACGATGATCGATGCCATGTTGAAAACAAAAGGCGTTTTCAAACACTGAAAGCTAGGAATAGCTCGGACATCTTGAAACAACTGGAAAAAAAACACACACATAAAACACTTGCCAAGTGTTCTGCCAGTTTCAACCGGATTCCAACTGAGATCTGCGACGGCACTTCCAACTCTGGTGGTGGTGTTGAAGCTCGAGTCCTTGGGGAATGTGGATATTGGGCCTGTCTGAAAAATGGCTTGTGCACATTTTTGTTTCGTGGCATAAGATGACATTTTAACTTACATACTCTGAACAAGCCCAGTTGCCGTGTAGGTGATGTGGCTGGCCGCGGCTGTAAGCGATGCTGCAAACCTGACGACTGATTCTCTGCTGGGGAATGAAGCTGAAACTTTTTCGCAAAGGAACATAGAGATCATTTTCCGGAAAATATGTAGAATGATTATGATTCAATATGAATCATGTAAAGTCTAATCATCTAATCGAGACATTTTGTTTCAGCAGTGGACCCAGTACGTGCGCTGTCGGCTACGTACCGCATCCCTCCGGCCAAGTGACGTCCTAGGGCTGGATGACGACCTGGCGGTTAGACTTGGTGGTTTTGTAGATGCTTCCCATAAAATCCACACGTGAATTTGAGGTCTAAACTTAACCATGTCAAAGAAGTTATACCTGGATACATTCCTAACATGTCAAAGAAGCTATACCTGGATACATTCCTAACATGTCAAAGAAGTTATACCTGGATACATTCCTAACATGTCAAAGAAGTTATACCTCGATACATTCCTACTTTAGGAAAAATATGGAAACATGATGATACGCCGATTTGTGATTTGGGGCTATCCATGGCTATCCTATGGTCAGGCAAACACATTGAAAACCAGTGAGGCAATCATCTAAAGCAGGGATGGACATATGCGCTCTAGCAGCAACATCAACACGATTAATTGATGCGAGATGACTTTTGGATGGACTATGATCGAATGGAATCCCCAAAGGCTTAGGCCACATCAAACCATGCATGAGATAGAGACTGTCATGAGCCCTTCAAAGACCGGGAAAATCTTCCTATATACTATATACATAATATATATATATACACATGTCACACACACATATATATATACATATATATATATATATACATATTATGAACTGGGTAGCGGCTCCACTCTTCAACCAAAGGTGTCCCTGACACCAAATCCCAGGCGCACAGCACCTTTTCCTCCAAAACCTGCAAGCTGTCCTCAGCTCCAAATGTGCAGTCCTCTGCACAGCCAAGCCGCAACCAAATGGCGTCAATCGCCACCCTCCCGCCGCATCAAGATTGGGCTCCCTGAGCCTGAAATCCTGTGGTGGATTGGCACCTGATTTCACATGGGTTACATCAAGGATTGACCAAAGTGTGTGGCTGGAAGGCTGCATGAACCCAAGTTGGAAGTGATCAAATGTGCATATTCACACTCCTTAAAACTTCTATGTTTTTGAAACTTTAGTGCACATTTGATCATTGGACATCCGCAACCACTTCAAGCGATTTCTGGCAGAGGCTCTGTCTTTGAGTACTTCAGCAGCATCATGAAGGCAATATTTGCCCTGACGAAGGGTTTCCCGTAGAAAATTGGCTTCCATGATTTTTGTTAAAGCGTCGGCTAGCTGCGCTCCTGAATGTACCCAGTGGAGTTTAATGCCTTCTGCAAGAATATCCTTAATTGATCTAGCTAACAGCTGTGTGCGGTATTCCTGGCAATTTGGGATGGCAGTTCTGGTGGTGAGATCATACAAGCTTTTACAATCGGTTATGGCAAGGTCATGGGTGTTCGCTTTGAAAGTGGGAATGGTTATTGCAGGGGGTAAATTGGTTACCTTTTCAGGTCTCTGCCATTCCACTCGGGGATCCAAGAGCCAGGCCCAGTATAAACGCAACCACGTGAGTTGATCTAAAGTAGAGGAAAGAGCTGTCGTTTCGGCTGACAGCGTACTCGTCACGATGCGTTGAATCTTTTTGGTTCCCCAAGAGATTGGACTGATGGCACATGATTTGTTTTGTGAAATTTCTTTATGAGTTGCTAGTATGATCATTCCTGCATGGGATTCAGGTTTTGACTTTGAGGCAAACGAAGCATCTGAAAATGCAATAAATCTCAAGTCCTTCAGTGGTATTGGTTGGATCTTAATGCTCACATCACTGTGCTTTTTGGCACTGTGTAAAACTTTGTTTGCCGTTACCAATGTGGACACTTTGGCTTGATTGATTTGGGATTGCAAGTGGCTCAGTGCACTGGATACGTCGGGTCGCGTATGTACAGCTGCGTATTGCAAAGATCCTACCAAACCTCTAAGATGGTGTCGTTCTTCTTCTGTTACCATCTGATCTTCTTGCATTCGTCGCTCTGGTTTGATGGAGATTGCTGGGATGTTGTTCACATATTTGGATTGGGACAAATGGATACTGTTGTCGGGTAATTGATGAAGGTCAATTCCTGTGAAAGTGAAAGATCTTGATTTCTTTGAGCCAAAAGGATACTTCTTTTCAAGCTTTTGGATTTGTTGGTGGAAATAGGCATTGCCTCCATAAATCCCATCATCTACGTGAACTCCCAGTGCACCACACAGTTCTCCAGTCTCTGGATGACGGAGCGTGAACAAGCATGGATCAAATGGCGATGCAGTCATTCCAAGGTTGAGCAATTCTTCACACAGTGTTTGAAACCAGAGAAACGGAGCATCGATTAAACCATAAGCTGACTTATCTAATTTGCAAATCTCATCATCTTTCAGCTTCATTGCTGTGGCTAGTTCCGGAACTGGTTCCAGACCCATCACACGATCCTGCTGTGTTCTGCCTTGGAGAAAGGCGGCACGTATGTCAAAAGACTCCAAAGTCCAGCCACAAGATGTGATCAGTTGAAGGAGCAGCATTTTTGATTGGCGACCAAGTGTGGGACTATCCCTTGGGACCTCTGTTAAATTTGGATCTAAATATCCCAGTACAACTAATCGCGCTTTTGCCTTATGGGTTCTAAGTTTGGAAGACATTGATGTCTTTTCATTTTCCTTGTTTTGCTCAGGGTCTTTGTCCTTCCAAACAAGTAGCCATCGACATCGCATGATCTGTTCTGGAGCCAACTTCGATCGCAGGATTTTTGACACTGTACCGGTGGTTAACCAATTCTGGACCTCGGTTTCTTTTGCCTTTTGGAAGGCTGCTTTCTCTTCGGCATTCAATGTTGACAACTTTACCTCTGTCCGTTGTCTTTTATCGGCGGTGGCCAGGAGGATGTCATCTGCAGCCATGCATGACCTGTCCTGGTGGACAAGGTAACTGGGAACTTCCATTTCGAAACGCCATGCACATGGTGTTTCTAGTGGGTCAACATTGAGGGTTGGTTCTTCATCATCACAGCACAACAAGTGGGAGGTTATCAGGGAATCATCATTGTCATTGATTTCCGGTATTGGTGTATCCATGGGGTTCTCATTGGTTGGATCTTCTTTATTGGCATTTGGATCATTGGAAAGGTTTTCTGAAGGTGCACCGTCAGGTTCATTGTCTGGCTGATCTTGAGACAGGCTTGAATTGTGTTCAGATGGTGCTTGAGAAACACCCTGCGCACTTGTTGCTGGAGGCTCGTTCGGAACTGGCTCGGAGGTTCGGACATCTGTGGGCAGGCTGACCTGATTGGCCTCATTGGGAATTTCATCCATGGGTACTTGTCTAGCTTCTGCGGATGACACTGGTCTCACATGTTCTGGAGCACGTCTGTGAAGTTTTCCCCCAGCAGTTGCCCATATTGAGAGATTGGGATCTTGTTGGATTACCTTCAAAGGACCAAACCAGTAACCGCTAGAATCCTTCTGGGGCTGCCACATCATGATCCATTCACCTGGACTGTAACCTTGGCGATCAGGCCTGGTGCGTCTCAGGCATGCCCTCCTCAAAGCCATGTCGTTATCCACCTGATGATATGCTATCCTGGCTTTTTCTCGAAGTGCCAGATTCTGCCTGAAAGCGATGCCTTGTGCATCTTCTGAATTGGCGCTCGCATGGGCGGAAATCTCATCGGAACTGATATTCGACCCTGGCAACTTGGAATTCTTTCCAAACACTAGTACTTCTGGGGCAAAACCTGCCCGAATGCTCAACGTGTTTTTGGCGTGTGTGCATTGGATTAAAGCCTGTTGCAAGTCTTTATAGGTGGTAATAGGACTGTCAATGTCTATTTTGTTCAACATGGATTGCAAAATCTGACCATGTCTTTCGCACCTACCGTTTTGCCAGTGTGCATGTGGAGAAGTGACCACACCTCGAACATCATGGCGTTGAAGGAACTCCCCAAACATTTCGCTGGTGAATTCAGTTGCTGAATCCATGATTAAGGTGTTTGGAGGACCTGCCCACAAGAACCAAGATTCAGAAACTTTGATGGCTTGGTCTGCAGATCTACTTGGGGCTGGTATTGCTACATGATAATTCGTGGCTTGATCAATCAAGTGATAAAAATGAAACATTGTTCCTGCCTTTGAAGTCCAAGTAACACCATCGATAAAAACCTTGTCGTTGAAATCCAGGGCATCCTTCAAGGTGCTTGGTCTGGCAATTTTTGGCTTTTGACATGTCGCGCAGGTTGAGCACTGCAGGTCAAAAACTGCTTGACATATCTCTGGTCGACACCCTTTGGACCGGAATACCGCACTCAATTGTTCTGGACTGGGATGACACAAATTTTGGTGAGCTCTTTTAATCATGGCTTGTTCTTCTTTGGGTAAAGCTCGAAATCTTGGTCCATGTCTTTCCAATCCAGTTGAGCTCGGTGTCTCGGCGGCTGGCGATACTGCTGATGGCGGTCTTGGATCCTTCTCCAATGGCTCTGGCTTTCGGACAATGTCTGGAACACCTTGGTTGGGACCTTCTTCACTTGGATTTTCATTGACTTGATTTTCTGAGTTTTCCAATTTAAGGCTTTCTGGGTTGGATGTACCGTCATCGGCGGCGGGCTGATCTGGGGACTCAGCTTCAGGCACGGTTTCGGAACTGGGCATTGGACTCTGGTGGTCCTCTGCTTTCACGGCTGCAAACATCGTTATATTCACTCGACAGGCTGGAGACTGACGGATGATCTGCCTTTTGGACAAAGTGTCATACTTCTCCCATGCTGGGTCCAAAATGATTTGTTGGTCTTTGCGAAGTCGAATGATGGATCGGCGATACGGTGCTTCTTCAGGATTGATGTCACTTGGTGGTTCAAATCTCCGATCAGTTCCCTTTCCTGCCAGGACACGTACAATTTGGTACTTGGGGAATATAGCATTCAACATTTGCAAAATGTTGGGACTGTTAATTTGTTTCTTTCCAACCCTTGGCAACACTGCTTCAATTTGTTGCAAAGCTTTCTCAATGAGATCTTGTTGAATGTCTGAACTGTTGTTTGAACTCGGTGATGATGTTGATGCCTCTTCACTTTGAGGATTTGTTTTCATCCGTTTGGCCTCCCCCGGCTGTTCGAGTGCGCCAGTCGCAGCTTGAGTCTTGACCCCTTTGGATGGGGCTCTTCGCAAACGTTTGGCTGGTCGCTCTTTGACTGCTGCGGCAAGCACTTCATCAATCATGGTGTCGATTGTGAGCAAAGCATTGTCTAACATTGAACCCATTGGTTTTTCAAGGGGAAACCTATGCTTGACAATGGTCTTGGCAATCAGTCTGGCGAACTTCCTAGGGTACAGCTCGGAAAATTTGGCTCGGGAGATTGACATGCCTTGGGAAACCGTGGAACCTTCAATCACTTGGTGATTATGTTTGTGGTCACATTTCAGGGGATCCAAAGTCTCGTACATTTTCCTGGAGGTGGTATTGATCTCAAGACCCTTTTTTATGGGTTGCATACTTTGTGGATCGGTCAAATCACCTGCATTGCACAAATCTGGCTTTGCTGCAATCATGTACCTACTGATTTCTTGGACCTGTGGAAGCTTCATCATGAGAGATCCCTTCGGCTGTTCCCAATGGGCATGTTGTTGACGCCTGTGCTGATATCTGCAAAGCACAAGACACAAAGCAACCTGGATGAGCATGTCCGCACGGTCACTGTTGATTTGATCCCAGCTTTGGAGGGATCTTTGGCAATTGAACTGGGACCACTTGCTCCATGGACCACACGTGGGACTCATCCAGATATTATGCGGCTGGTGTCTTATGAGAATTGAAAACAATTCTCGGCGGCCCTCAGGTTTCATCAGATCGCCTTGGTCAAGGCCGAATCTCTTGGCTGATCCTCCTAATTGATTGACCTGGTTGGTCAGGCTGCTGTTTTGGCTGCAGAACACTTCTAGGAGATCTAATTTCTTGGCATTGGGTTTGACAATTTTGGACATCTGTGTTAATTCTGCTTCAATCATTTCTACATGTTCCCAAAATTTTGCTTGGTGATTGTTCGGCATGGAATGGCAAAAGCTGTCAATTTCCCCTGCTTTCAGTGCCCAGTCGCTACGGCCATAGTCCTCAATCAATTGTTCCAGGGATCCTCCCATTCGGCCGTTGCAGTTTCTGGGATGCCTGCGGGCATCGGGCGGTCGGCCCCCATGGTGTTCTGGGACATCAGCGCGATCAGCTTCTGCATAGCATTCTCCATGTTCAACATTCTGGCCTGAAGGCCGTTCATCTCTTCTCGGGCTTCGTCTCCGGCGATCCAAGGAGTCTCGCTCATCACTTCGAAGGAGTCTGTCTCGGACTCCACTGGCCATGTCCTGGGAGTTGTACTGGCTGGCATCATCTTGGGACGTGCTGCCAGTGACTTTGGGAGGCTCTTTGCCTTGGCAATTGGCATCTGTGTCGGTCCCTCTGTGTTCTCTGTCTCTTCGATCTTGAGGTGGATGTACCTGATCATCTTGCGATGTTCCATCTTGCCACTGTTGAAGTAATGGGCCGCAAACCATCGTACCCAATCCGGGTGGTTGGCCCAGATCTCCTCGTAGGGCTTGCCGATGTGGGCTTTCCCAAACGTCATCAACTCTCCTTTCAGGTCTTCCATTGTCATGTGTTCGATGGATTCCTCTTCCGGCGGTGGCAGAGAGGACTGAGCTTTGGCCAGTCTCTGGGCAAAGCTGGCCATGTTGAACACTCGGTGCTTTCGAATGGGCTGGTGCGTCACAATCTTGAGCGCAAAACTTCTGGGTGTTTGGACCTGCTGAGTCAAACTTATGGATAACAGGACTTCCGATGGTGATATCTGTGTTGATTTGAGATTGAACTTCACCTTGGTTACCTACCTGATGGCCTTTCATGGTATGGACAGGGATTGCTTCGAGTCCTACAGATGGCTTAAGATCAGGCTAACTCGATGATTCATTTTGACCACTGTCGTGATCGTCCTGTGCATAAGTCTCGGCAGCTACTTCGGCATTCCCAGGCACTGGAGAAATTGCAAAAAGCTTGTTCATGTCGATGAGGTAAAGACCCTTGGGTGAAAGTTGTAAAGGAATTTGAGTTTGGTGTTTCGGAATGACAAGTTGGTGATTGGCAGTGTCGATCATAGCTCCAAGTGCCCTGAGAAGTGTATTCGATATCAAAAATGGAGTTGACCCTTCCACTACTGAGATTTTCAGCCACATGCCACAAACTGGAACTACCATTGCATGGTTCGCCTTGAGGGTTCCTTGATTTCCAAAACGGAAGACCACATTGCTTGAACTTCTTCGAACACACTTCCGGATATTTTGGGGTAAACCGGCTAGGAACTCCTTAACATGACTGCTCCCCATAACCGTCTTTGTGGCCCCTGTGTCTACTATTCCCCAAGTGTCGTGAGTGGCAAAGCATGTCTCGGCTTCGGCGGATGCAGTGGCTTGCATTGGGCCCTCCACTGGTGCATGATTTGAAGGGGTTGCTACTTTTGAGCAACCTGGGAACACTTTGGATACCACTCGGTAAGGCGGCTTGCATTCAGGGCGCAAAATGCGCTGGCTTTGGTGGAGCGCTTCACTGGGCAGGTCGGAATTCTTGGCCTGCTGGTGCAACTTCATCTCAATCCTGTGCACAAGAGCTTGGACTCCCAAATTAGATCCCTTATTACCCTTAATATGGTTTCTAATTTTCTCCCTGAGTGCCCCCATGTTACTATCAGGCTTGTGGATGGTCGGATGCATTGAGGCCGGTCTATTTGAAAAAACTGACTGTACAAAACATGATGCATTGGACAAAATGTCCTGGGGCGGATGCTCAAACACTTCCGGAAGGTCCATGAACTCTTCTGGCATGCCGTCGTCAGAGGATCGGGCATTGGAGGCAAGCGACACTGTTACGGCTGCAGAGGATGACACGGTTGATGAACCCTGGTTTTTCATCGGACATTCATTTCGCCAGTGACCCTTTTTACCGCAAAGTCGGCAATTGGACTCTAGGATTCTCTGCTGCAGTGTCTTTCGGCCATTGTTCCAAGGACCTTTGCCTTTGAAGCGACCCTTGCCCTTTGACTTTCCTTTGCTGATAGGCCAAAAGCCTCTGGCTCTGTACTTTTCACTGAGTCGGCGCCTGGCTTCCATGTAAGTGCTGAACGCAGCTGCTAGATCTTCATCCTGCTGAACTACTTCACTAGCTGCTGCCTCAAAATCAGCTATGAAAACGGCATCATCATCGCCATCAGCTATGAGGACTTCTAACAAGTCTTCCTCATTCCAGTCATCATGTTGAGCCATGTGTGCAGATTCCTCATTGTCACCCTGAGAATCCTGATCCTCGGCAAACAACGTCATGGAGTCGTACACCTTTGTCTTGTTCACTTTCTTTCCAAGGCCCATCATTTCCTGGAAAAAGGATGTTCCAAGCATCCTCACAGCTTCGCGAACCCTTCCAACAGTCAAAGTCCCTTCAAGAGACGAGTCAGAATCCAAGATGATCCGTTTTTTATCCTCACTGGACAGTTGGGCACCCCTTAGGGTAATGTAGGCCTGAAGGTCATCAAGCTGCAGTTTCTGAGATTTCAACTTTGACCAAAGCACATCTGCCCGAGCTAAGTAAGAATCGTGTGATTCGTCCTGTTGCTGGCTGCACTGAAACAAAGCTTTTTCAGCATCTGCATATCTCTTTTCCAGTCCTGTTTTACCCCAATGTCCTCCCAAAAGTTCTATGAGCTTGGGCACCTGCTTGGCATCATTGACGCAGAGTTCTGTGCTATGCAGTTGGAGTTGTGCAAAAGCGGAACCTGAGGTATTGAGTATCAGTCGTGTGATCAGTTCGGCGATCTTACCTTGTGGCCACACAGACAGAACAAGCTGAACCTTCTGTTGGTACGTCTGCAAGTCATCCTTGCTTGGATCAAAACTTGGCACTAGAGAAGCAAGTTGGGTGGAGACTCCACCAACTGCTTCAGCACCCCCAGAGGTCTCCGACATGTAGAAGACGTCAAGCTTGTGTCCACCTCCACAAACTCAATCTCCAATCGGCACCAGTGGTATCACCTGGATGCTCCTTGAGCTCAAGGAGCTCCGCTACCAGTATGAACTGGGTAGCGGCTCCACTCTTCAACCAAAGGTGTCCCTGACACCAACTCCCAGGCGCACAGCACCTTTTCCTCCAAAACCTGCAAGCTGTCCTCAGCTCCAAATGTGCAGTCCTCTGCACAGCCAAGCCGCAACCAAATGGCGTCAATCGCCACCCTCCCGCCGCATCAAGATTGGGCTCCCTGAGCGAAAATCCTGTGGTGGATTGGCACCTGATTTCACATGGGTTACATCAAGGATTGACCAAAGTGTGTGGCTGGAAGGCTGCATGAACCCAAGTTGGAAGTGATCAAATGTGCATATTCACAACATATATATATATATATATATACATATATATATATATATATATATACACATGTATGTATATATATATACACATGTATGTATATATATATATACATATATATATATATATATCATGAGATTATTTGAGGCATATTTTGAGAATTTGAATGAGGACTTCCCCCAAAAATACCTTTCTTGAGGCTTTCGTATCGCCAGAGGAAACCATCTGACTCCAATCGCCTCGGGGCAACCCAGCTTGAAGCCGTGGGACAGCCTTGGAGCTCTGCAGCACTGTCCCAGTCTCTGCCCTCCACTGATCTGCCGTGATGACAGAAACCATTTGGGCCAGAAACTTCTTTTGAAGTCAGAGACCATTTCTAGTATTTTGATGTATTTTGATGTATTTGGCAAGACAACTACTACCTAATGACCAAAAAATCTGAGTTTCCAGGGTTTCTGAGTTTCTTGAACCAACGCTTTGCTTTAACCTTCCGCAAAACTCACACTTGGTGTGGACAATCCTAGCCATTTTCCACATAGTTTTGAGGATTACGCATGGCCATGGTGAACCGACTACTATGTCACTTTCCAGGAAAACAACTCTAATCCAAACCAAATTCAACACATATATCGTACTAACCATCATATTAACCAACATATCATTGTGTAACCATGTCGTCATTCATTGTTATTCATTTTCACTTCGAATATCATTCACTATAGATGAATTCATGTTCATTCACCCATCATATCATGAACATCCACCGGACCTCTTTGGTCGCAGGGTGCAGATCGTTGCCTCCAGCATCACATTGGGGATGAACATTTAATGGTTTCTATATGCAGTGTATACACATATATATGCATGTATGTAATGTAATGTAATGTAATGTATGTGTATGTGTATGTGTATGTGTATGTGTATGTGTATGTTTGTATGTTTGTATGTTTGTATGTTTGTATGTTTGTAAGTGTGTATGTGTGTATGTGTGTATGTGTGTGTGCGTGTGTGTATGTGTGTATGTGTGTATGTGTGTATGTGTGTATGTGTGTGTATGTATGTATCTATGTACGTATGTATGTATGTATGTATGTATGTATATATCTATGTAAGTATTTATGTAATGAAATGTAATGCAATGCAATGTAATGTATGTAATGCACGTAATGTATGTAATGTATGTAATGCAATGTATGTAATGTATGTAATGTAATGTAATGTATTGTATTGTATTGTATGTATGTGTGTATGGCTGTCTGTCTGTATGTATGTATGTATGTAATGCAATGCAATGCAATGCAATGCATGTATGTATCTATGTCTATGTATGTATGTAATGCAATGCAATGCAATGGAATGGAATGTAATGTATGTAATGTATGTAATGTATGTCATGTATATCATGTATGTCATGTATGTCATGTATGTAATGTAATGTAATGTAATGTAATGTAATGTATGTAATGTAATGTATGTAATGTAATGTAATGTAATGTAACGCATGTATGTACTTAACATACTTATCATAATCTATCATGAACATTTCCTATCACTATCATTATCATTTACCATCTATATTTATCATATACTATCTATATTTATCTATATTTATCTATATTTATCTATATTTACCTATATTTATCTATATTTATCTATGTTCACCCCGCTTCGCGTGGGGTGGCCGCCCACACCGCAGGTTTATTTCGGTCCGTGAGAGGGGCTAAGGGTGGTTTTCCCCCGTGGGGGCTCCCCAAGCTAAGAATTTCACTTTCCCCCCCCGTGGGGGCTCCCCAAGCTAGGGAATTTTCACTTTTCCCCCCCGTGGGGGCTCCCCAAGCTAGGGAATTTTCACTTTTCCCCCCCGTGAGGGCTCCCCAAGCTAGGGAATTTTCACTTTTCCCCCCCTAAAGGCTCCCCAAGCTAGGGAATTTTCACTTTTCCCCCCCGTGGGGGCTTCCCAAGCTAGGGAATTTTCACTTTTCCGCGCCGTGACAGCTTCCCAAGCTATGGAATTTTCACTTTTCCCTCCCTTGGAGGCTCTCCAAGCTGCGGAATTTCAAATAGCTAGACAACGACGCCTAGATAGTCCCCCAAATCCCGTGTTCTTTGAATGTGTTTCCATGTTTTTGCAATGGTTTCCTTCAAAGCACGGTACTTTACACTTTTGTCGCCATAAAACCGGTCGAAAACATCATGTTCGACAATGCTTCCAATTCCCTTATCTCCCCAACCGTTGAAAATACCGCTATTTACAGTGTTTTCTTCAATTTTTCCATGTGCCAATGCCGGTAGCCAACTCCAACATATATATATATATATATTATAGAAATCCTTCCAAAACATTGTTTTTGACAGTGTTTTTCCAATGTTTCCAGTCAAACAGACGGTAATTTACACGTTTTTTGCCATAAAGGCAGTAAATCCATCCAAAACATTGCTTTTGACAGTGTTTTTGTAATGTTTCCAGTCAAGCATACGGTAATTTACACGTTTTTTGCTATAACGTCAGTCCAAAACACTTGTTTTTGCAGTGTTTTCAATGCTCTGGCATCCAAAAACCCTGCAAAATCTTGCTATGTACAATGTTTTTTTCATTTTTGGCCGTTTTTCCATTGCCGGAAAGCTACCAAAATGACCCAAAATTCCATTTCAATACCCTCTTGCGCTCAGACACCCAAAAATCCTCGAAAAATGTCGAAAACACCACCGTATTCTGGTCTCGGTGCGAAACCGTTTTTGGCCCCCCCCCCAGCTAAAGCTGATATAGCGACTGCTATATTATCAAATGTCATTGAGCATTTAGTGTTGCTGTTGCCCCCCAATAAGCACGCCTTCACCGCCAAAGCGGTGTGGGCGGATTTATCTAATTTTACCTAAAATAATCTATCCGTCTATCTTCTCCATATCCGTATGAAACACGCCCGAATCTGCGGGGGACCTTCCGGATCCGCGGCGAAGAACTCGTCCAACAAGTCCCCGAAGCCCAGCTCCATAGCGAACTGCCGGCGAAGTCAAAAAACTGCTGCGACCTGAAGGTTGATGAATTATCAATATCAATACTCTATATATTATATAAATATATATATATATATGATATCAAATTATATACATTTATATACCATACTCATCTGGATAGTAACTTTACTTTACTTCGCATTAAAAAAAACAAAATCGCTTCCATGGGGCCTCTTCACAGTGCACTGAGTTGGGGTTGACGCCACGTCCACTCTGCCTGTGAGCTGAACGTAGCTGGAGGCTGTGACCCGTACGTTTGGAGATGATCCGTAAGGATCATACAACATATCCATAGGGTATATTGTACAAGCGCGTGTATATAATATTATATAGTATTATATACATTTATTTATCTATCTATTTATACACACCAAGTATCTTAGTTACAAAAGTAGCTGCAGAGTCTCTTGAGGTCACGCCTTTTTCAGACAAACCCTGGCGTGGCTAAGTTCCCGGACGTCGACCGAGTGATCCTGGCCCACTGATGAATTTATGCTGAATAATGCTTCAAGAATGGTTACAAGAGCAATGAATTGACAGTGAATATATATATATATGAATAGATGATTTATTTTGGCTAATTTTGCAAGAAATCATTGATTGTAAAACTGGCTTAAACTCAAAATTATCACGATATTCCAATCTTTGAGGATTCGCAGAGGACCTGCTCGTGGTCAAAACAAGCCCTGCGGTACCAAACATCCCACACTTTCTCCACCCTCGATCGCCTCACAATCGCCGGGCTTCGTTGGGGAACCCAGGAAACAACTAGGGTTAGAGCACCACCAACGGATATACAGGAAATCAGCATTAAAGTAGTAAGGATTTAACGGGATTTACATTGCTTTTTCTGGGGATAACTTTATACGAGTACCTACTTTTCCCATTGCGGATCGGTATAGATGATTTGTGGCCTCCACTTGTTCAAGGAAACAGCCAATAGGTGGCTTCCGAACCGCAATGATAAACCATGATTTCAATCATTCGGCATTTCTGAAAGTAATTAACCATCATGTGATCATGTGTATCAATATTTAACTTGGTTGAAGTGAACATTTAGTTTGAAAAACAGTGATACATCACAATTTTTGCAGGACTTCTCTTTTCTATTTTTTTTTGGATAGCTATATATGGTAATAACTCCCACTAAGCATTCGCAATGAATCAATAATTACTGAGGCCGCTACAGATCTGAGATCTTTTGCCTCAGCAAAGCATTGCTGCGTTGTAACGTTGAACTAGCCGTATCACACATCATCATATGATATTTAGATTCATATCATCTTGTCTGCCATATAGATGTATATACACCCACATACCTACAATTACACATACGCACACTATACAATTATATAATATTGTATACAATTCAATAGATACATATTTAAGTACTTATATATATATACACACATATGTAGATTTGTACATACATATACTCATATATATATACACATACATATATATATATATTATTATATCCGCCGACCCCGGCCTTCGCCAAGGCCGGGGCGGCGCCTGGGACCACCGCAGGTGTGGAACTTTTCCAACACGCCCAGCACGCAAAAGCTACCACAAGGCCACAGCAATGGCTCAAGGGCCCCTTCCGGCCGCAGCAATGGCTTCTTATAGGCGTTCAAGGCTGCCGTTTGCCAGGCCTCAAACCCTCCAAAACCCTCCAAACGCTCCAAAAGTTCGCATAGCTCCGCAGGGACAAGGTACCCCAACAAGCCCAACACGCGCCACTCCCGCACGCAAAAGCCACCACAAGGCCACAGCAATGGCTCAAGGGCACCTTCCGGCCGCAGCAATGGCTTCTTATAGGCGTTCAAGGCTGCCGTTTGCCAGGCCTCAAACCCTCCAAAACCCTCCAAACGCTCCAAAAGTTCGCATAGCTCCGCAGGGACAAGGTACCCCAACAAGCCCAACACGCGCCACTCCCGCACGCAAAAGCCACCACAAGGCCACAGCAATGGCTCAAGGGCACCTTCCGGCCGCAGCAATGGCTTCTTATAGGCGTTCAAGGCTGCCGTTTGCCAGGCCTCAAACCCTCCAAAACCCTCCAAACGCTCCAAAAGTTCGCATAGCTCCGCAGGGACAAGGTACCCCAACAAGCCCAACACGCGCCACTCCCGCACGCAATCAAAACCCTCCAAAACCCTCCAAACGCTCCAAAAGTTCGCATAGCTCCGCAGGGACCAGGTACCCCAACAAGCCCAACGCGCGCCACTCCCGCACGCAAAAGCCACCACAAGGCCACAGCAATGGCTCAAGGGCACCTTCCGGCCGCAGCAATGGCTTCTTATAGGCGTTCAAGGCTGCCGTTTGCCAGGCCTCAACCCCTCCAAAACCCTCCAAACGCTCCAAAAGTTCGCATAGTTCCGCAGGGACAAGGTACCCCAACAAGCCCAACACGCGCCACTCCCGCACGCAAAAGCCACCACAAGGCCACAGCAATGGCTCAAGGGCACCTTCCGGCCGCAGCAATGGCTTCTTATAGGCGTTCAAGGCTGCCGTTTGCCAGGCCTCAAACCCTCCAAAACCCTCCAAACGCTCCAAAACCCTCCAAACGCTCCAAAAGTTCGCATAGCTCCTCAAGGGCACCTTCCGCCCGCAGCAATGGCTTCTTATAGGCGTTCAAGGCTCCGTTTGCCAGGCCTCAAACCCTCCAAAACCCTCCAAACGCTCCAAAAGTTCGCATAGCTCCGCAGGGACAAGGTACCCCAACAAGCCCAACACGCGCCACTCCCGCACGCAAAAGCCACCACAAGACCACAGCAATGGCTCAAGGGCACCTTCCGGCCGCGAGCAATGGCTTCTTATAGGCGCATCAAGGCTGGCCCGTTGCCAGGCCTCAAACCCTCCAAACGCTCCGAAACCCTCAAACGCTCAAAAATTCGCATAGCTCCCTAGGAAACAAGGTACCCCAAACCAGCCTAACCAAACCCTTCCAAACCCTCAAACGCAGGGCAACCCTTCCGGCCGCAGCAATGGCTTTCTTAAGGCGTTCCAAGGCTGCCGTTTTGCCAGGGCCTCAAACCCTCGCAAAAACCCCCCAAACGCTCAAAATTCGCATAGCTCCGCAAGGACAAGGTACCCCAACAAGCCCAAACACGCGCCACTCCCGCACGCAAAAGCCACCACAAGGCCACAGCAATGGCTCAAGGGCACCTTCCCGGCCGCAGCAATGGCTTCTTATAGGCGTTCAAGCTGCCGTTTGCCAGGCCTCAAACAACCTCCAAACGCTCCAAAAGTTCGCATAGCTCCGCAGGGACAAGGTACCCCAACAAGCCCAACCAAACCCTCCAAAACCCTCCAAACGCCAAGGGCACCTTCCGGCCGCTGCAATGGCTTCTTATAGGCGTTCAAGGCTGCCGTTTGCCAGGCCTCAAACCCTCCAAAAACCCTCCAAACGCTCCAAAAGTTCGCATAGCTCCGCAAGGACAAGGTACCCCAACAAGCCCAACACGCGCCACTCCCGCATGCAAAAGCCACCACAAGGCCACAGCAATGGCTCAAGGGCACCTTCCGGCCGCAGCAATGGCTTCTTATAGGCGTTCAAGGCTGCCGTTTGCCAGGCCTCAAACCCTCCAAATCCCTCCAAACGCTCCAAAAGTTCGCATAGTTCCGCAGGGACAAGGTACCCCAACAAGCCCAACACGCGCCACTCCCGCACGCAAAAGCCACCACAAGGCCACAGCAATGGCTCAAGGGCACCTTCCGGCCGCAGCAATGGCTTCTTATAGGCGTTCAAGGCTGCCGTTTGCCAGGCCTCAAACCCTCCAAAACGCTCCAAAAGTTCGCATAGCTCCGCAGGGACAAGGTACCCCAACAAGCCCAACACGCGCCACTTCCGCACGCAAAAGCCACCACAAGGCCACAGCAATGGCTCAAGGGCACCTTCCGGCCGCTGCAATGGCTTCTTATAGGCGTTCAAGGCTGCCGTTTGCCAGGCCTCAAACCCTCCAAAACCCTCCAAACCCTCCAAACGTTCGCATAGCTCCGCAGGGACAAGGCACCTTCCGGCCGCTGCAATGGCTTCTTATAGGTGTTCAAGGCTGCCGTTTGCCAGGCCTCAAACCCTCCAAAACCCTCCA